AGCAGCAGGTGTCGTCAAGGGTCGGAATCGAACCCACGGCCTCCTGTATACCAGGCGAGGTCGTTAACATCTCCTAGCCACCGTGGCACCCTGATGTATTCTCCTTTATCCGTTATTTGACTCGACCCGATTTGTGCCAAATGTTCAGACTGTTGGCCGTTCTAGAACACCCTTAGAATGCTACGTACACATTGAGAACGATTGCCTTTGCGTATATATCCTACTGGATGTGTATGCGGCGCACTTGAGTGACTTTGCAGGGCCACATCAAGCCCACCAATTTTGGCGTGCGCCCCCTCGTGGCTCCCAGTGAAGCTGTGCGCGGGTCCTCTGCAGGTCGCAACAACAGCCAATCGCCGAACCGGCATTGGCCACGATCTAACCACTGCTGGTGGTAGAGTCTCCCGAACGTCGCCACGAGTTGATTCCCAATGGCTCCGACTCAGCAGTGAAACGTCCCTCTCCTTTGGCTGCAACTCCATCGCGAGTCTCGACCGACCGGCTGGTCCATCATCCCTGCGAGCGAGGCGTCACTTTCAGACTTCCATTGACAGTCAAATACGACGCCTTTGATTTGCATTCGTGACCTGATCCTTGTTTTCCTCTCTTCCTTGTCTGGGCGAACGCGCACCCTTTGCGCGTTTCGCTGCAAAACTTTTTTTTTATATATATATTTAGCTGCCTTTGTTTCCGTTTTCTTTATTCAGGCCGCGCGTTCCCCAAAAACCATGTCGTGGCTCGAGCAGCAATGTGCAGTGTTTTAACAATGGATGGTGGCAATACGAATGAACTCCGTTTTATAAAGCGCCTTTCAAATTGGTAATCTCATCAAAGCGCTGTGCATCAGAGGTATAAACATTTTTTTGTTAATATATACGTAATAATAAAACACTGACACACCAGTGGAGATACAATCAGAATAACACGAAAGATAAAACCAAAAATAGAAACGTAAGCAACTACCGGTGAAACCCGTGGGAGCGACTATATATATTTTAAATGTGGTTTAAAATAAAAATGTAAACCTTGATTCTTCTGACATATTGCGACGTTGCTTTTTCATCGTCAAACTTTTTTTGTTTTAAATTTTCCCAAACAGCGCTCCGCCCTGGACTCGGGTCGACTCACCATTCCCACCGTTTACATCCCAAGTGACCCTCAATCCGCGCACAGTCGGAGTGGGGGGAGGTACAGTGAGGGAAAAAAGTATTTGATCCCCTGCTGATTTTGTACGTTTGCCCACTGACAAAGAAATGATCAGTCTATAATTTTAATGGTAGGTTTATTTGAACAGTGAGAGACAGAATAACAACAAAACAATCCAGAAAAACGCTTGTCAAAAATGTTATAAATTGATTTGCATTTCAATGAGGGAAATAAGTATTTGACCCCTCTGCAAAACATGACAGTACTTGGTGGCAAAACCCTTGTTGGCAATCACAGAGGTCAGACGTTTCTTGTAGTTGGCCACCAGGTTTGCACACATCTCAGGAGGTATTTTGTCCCACTCCTCTTTGCAGATCTTCTCCAAGTCATTAAGGTTTCGAGGCTGACGTTTGGCAACTCGAACTTTTAGCTCCCTCCACAGATTTTCTATGGGATGAAGGTCTGGAGACTGGCTAGGCCACTCCAGGACCTTAATGTGCTTCTTCTTGAGCTACTCCTTTGTTGCCTTGGCCGTGTATTTTGGGTCATTGTTATGCTGGAATACCCATCCACGACCAATTTTCAATGCCCTGGCTGAGGGAAGGTTTTCACCCAAGATTTGACGGTACATGGCCCCGTCCATCGTCCCTTTGATGCGGTGTAGTTGTCCTGTCCCCTAAAGCATAATGTTTCCACCTCCATGTTTGACGGTGGGGATGGTGTTCTTGGGGTCATAGGCAGCATTCCTCCTCCAAACACGGCGAGTTGAGTTGATGCCAAAGAGCTCCATTTTGGTCTCATCTGACCACAACATTTTCACCCAGTTGTCCTCTGAATCATTCAGATGTTCATTGGCAAACTTCAGACTGGCATGTATATGTGCTTTCTTGAGCAGGGGGACCTTGCGGGTGCTGCAGGATTTCAGTCTTTCACGGCGTAGTGTTACCAATTGTTTTATTGGTGACTATGGTCCCAGCTGCCTTGAGATCATTGACAAGATCCTCCCGTGCAGTTCTGGGCTGATTCCTCACCGTTCTCATGATCATTGCAACCCCACGAGGTGAGATCTTGCATGGAGCCCCAGGCCGAGGGAGATTGACAGTTCTTGTGTTTCTTCCATTTACGAATAATCGCACCAACTGTTGTCACCTTTTCACCAAGCTGCTTGGCAATGGTCTTGTAGCCCATTCTAGCCTTGTGTAGGTCTACATTCTTGTCCCTGACATCCTTGGAGACCTCTTTGGTCTTGGCCATGGTGCAGCGTTTGGAATCTGATTGATTGATTGCTTCTGTGGACAGGTGTCTTTTATACAGGTAACAAGCTGAGATTAGGAGCACTCCCTTTAAGAGTGTGCTCCTAATCTCAGCTCGTTACCTGTATAAAAGACACTTGGGAGCCAGAAATCTTTCTGATTGAGAGGGGGTCAAATACTTATTTCCCTCATTAAAATGCAAATCAATGTATAACATTTTTGACATGCGTTTTTATGGATTCTTTTGTTATTCTGTCTCTCACTGTTCAAATAAACCTACCATTAAAATTATAGACTGATCATTTCTTTGTCAGTGGGCAAACGTACAAAATCAGCAGGGGATCAAATACAATTTTCCCTCACTGTAACTGGCACCCTGTTCTCTCAACGTCATCCTGCTGTTGTCATCCCTCCAGTGATCATTTCGCTTTCTTTAGCGACGGCTCGTTTTCCCCCAAGATTGCTCTCTAGCACCCCACCCTTCCCCCCACCCCCAACTTAGCAGCCTTCTTTCTGTTGAGTCCTTCAGACGTTTCCTAAAGCTCATTTTACCCATGCCCATTACAATGACTAACTCAGCGTTGAGCCAACGTTGGCATGTGATTGGAACCGTTATAAAGGGGGCCTTGAATAAAAAAAAACACAAATATTAGAACACTCATGTTTTTTAACTTGCATGGTAAAGTAATTGCTTTTTTTAATTTGCTACACAGCCAAATAATACGACAAATCGCGAACCTTAAACACCCAGTCGTTCATAAAAGTTGAAGGCGGAATAGTACTATAGTAATAGAGCAAGTGCAGGATCACTGAACCGGAACTGATAGCTTGAAAGCATTTAGCGCGGGGTCCTTGAAAGTGCGGGGCCCGTACCATGTGCAGCTACTTTTGCTACCAGGATAATAATCCGGCACTGGTGCACAGGCTTGTGTGCGCACGCCGCTGACGGACGGAGGGGAACGGCCACATCACGGCGACTCTGAACGCGACTTTTCACGGATCCATCGCCATGCTGGGATTGACAAGAGACGTTCCCCGCTCTCGCTCCGAAAAACCCAGATTATGGGGGTTTGGTGGCGCGCGGTGGCGTGGTAACGCCTCCCAAGATTGTGTTCGGCTGACGGCAGGGGCCGTGTTCTCCAATAGGGCCGCAGTGGGCAATGCGCGTTGGGCCTACGAAAACTAAAAGCGCCTACGATGAAAAAAAAATGTTTAACCGCGGTTTTTTTTGTATGCTAAAAAAAAATCAGCAAGATATCGTCTTGAATATATTTATATAGCAAGGATAGTCACAGTGTATGTACAAAGAGGCAGTCATGTCAATCGTTTTTTTTCCCCATAAGGTGAGAGAAATTAACTCCGGAGATGAACTTTTCGAGATTTCTTCATTGCAAAATTACCAATAAGATCTTCAAATTGTGTTTTTTTTCGCACAATCTCATTCTCAAGAGAGAGTAGCAGTGCAAGGAAAGACAAGCGCTGTTGTTACTGTCCCATGCGTGAAACAAGCGCACGGACAGCTGCAGTAGTGGTGACATGGGGAAAAAGCAGTACCATCTGTAGAAAGTTATGACAGAAGTGTTTAGGGCCGACAAGAACTTTAAATCCAGCCCTGGCTGACAGGTGGCGAGAACGAGTTCCCCATTCGTGTTGCCACGCGGTAAAAACTAAACTTCCCTGCTGCTGCTGTGGAATGCGGCTCCTGCCATCTCGGAGTGCCCTTCGCCGAGTACCAGAGGTCACTTGAAGGGAGCACGAGGTATGTAGTGCCCTTCGCTGAGTACCAGAGGTCACTTGAAGGGATATCGTTGAGGTTAGCTCTGTGATATCCACTTCCACGAGCCGTTCTCGAACACGAAGGGTCGCGCATTCGCCCTGCGAGAGATCTGCATGGATTTTTCATCTCATTATGCGAGGCCGATGACACGATAGGGATAACGTGGACATTTTATTTAAGCCATCCATCTGAAAATTGAACAGGTGAGAAGAATGGATGCTCAGCAAACAAAGACTTAACGCAAGATTACATTTACACAGCGCGTGAGCGAGGATTACGTCTCACCAGTTCTAACTGCACCTCAAACTATTTGCAGCGTTGCCGGTTCGCGGTGGCGTCAAAAGGGACTCGGAGCGAGGTAACACTCAGCAAGCACCGCTCACTGCACCATCAGCATAACCATCAAAACCATCTCTGGCATGTGCACGCACACACACTCCCCCCCCCCCCCCCCCCCCCCCACACCTTATCGGGGAAAACATTCCTCCACTGAACTTTTTTGTTTGTTCAAAAATTATTATGAAACACCTTTTTTTGGTTGTTTAAAGTCGCACGTGCACGTTGGTTAAGATTCAAATCTAAGCTTAAATGTTTTTTTTAACCCCTCCCCACCCCCCCCAATTTTACGAACTTGTGTATGCTCTCGAATCAACGTTTCTGTCTCTGTAATTCAAAGCGTGGACCTCTCACCCCCCCCCCCCCCCCCCCCCCCCCCCGTGCTCCTTTGATCACTATTCAACTCGTTCTACCTCAAGTGGCCATCTTAGAGCTCCTGCAAACATCGCAGCGTTTGACTTCGCAGTGAAATGTGTTAGAAGCACAACAGCCGTAGTCACGCTGAGCTTTATTTGAAAGAAAAAAAAACACACGATGAAAAGCAAAACTGCAAGAAAACACATCACGAACTTTGTTCACAAGCATAAACTCTACGGTGAAAAATACAACACTTAAGGGCAGTGACATCTATTTATATCTGAATCGGTTCAAGCCGCCTGGAAATCACGTGACTTGTGTGGCCACCCCCACAATCCGAATCCCTTCCTTTTCCCCACCCCCTGTGAAAACAGACGCCGCTCCATGCAGCTCACTTCTGCTCGCTCCTCCCCTTCTCTCCCCCCCCGCCTCTGTCCTCTCATCATCACCTTCTCATCTCAGACGGCTTGGCCCGGTCATTCCTTCTCAATCCCTCTCCTCCTCCCCTTCCTACCCATCACTCCTCTCTTCCTACTGCTCACCTTGAGCCATGCCCTCCCTTTTTGTTCGACTCGGGGAACTTCTGTCCCGGCATCCGTTCCCTTCCCCGTTCAATCTTTCTTTATCCATTCATGTTATCCTCGATTCTACACTCACCCCCCGCGCCTTCCAGTCACGTGCTATGATAACATGCAGGCAGACAGTTTGACATTTAAAAAAAGCTACCGCATAATCAAGCACTTGTCATATATTTTTAGTTTTGTGTCCAGCTGCGGTCACCCATCCGGACACTACTCCAGCTCAACCCTGCCTTAGTTTCCAAGATCCGATGAGATGGGGAACATTTTGGTGGGGGTGGTGGGGGGGGGGGGTGTGTTTGAACACTGGCGAGAAAGGTCAACCCCCTCTTTAAAAACCAAACGATCCATGGTTATATTTGCCGTATAGAGAGAGCGGGGAGCATAGCGAACAAAACAAAGATGCAAACGAAGCGTGCAATGGTACAGAAATCGGGTGTCACGGAGCCCAAAAAAATCCAACAAGCGCGGCTTCACACTCGCGTTGTTCGTTTGTGGGTACAAAAAAAGACAATCCAGACAATTGTATTCATGTAGACACACTGCCACGGACTGTGCTTTTGCATATTTTTTAGGGGGACTCACTTCTTTATACTAACCTGCATATAAACAAGACATCACGCTCACACTTCCCCTCCCTCCCATAATCCGTAATACAGATTGCATAATCGTATAACTATTATCGTTTTGCAGTCGGGAGTTCATTCACCGTGGCTTCTCCCGTCCCCTTCACTGCTGCGGGGCGAGCACATCATCAACAACTACGACGATGACATCTCACGCAAATTCCCCACTGACCACCCCCCCTTCCTGTCCCGATACCTCTCCATCGCTTTCACGAGCGTCTCAAGACCAAAAAAATTGGACGCACACACGCTCGCACACAAACCCCTCTATTCGACTCGCACGAGCCGAGCCGGCGCAAGACCCCTCACCGTATCACCGTACCCCGTGGTATGCCGCTGCTTCCCGCTTTGCTGTGGCCTCACAAAAACACCTGGGGGGTGGGGGGGACGGGACGACGACGACCCCTGAGAAGCAGGGCCAGCAACAAGTGGCGCTGGCCACACGACCGTTGGCGCGAAGCGTCGGGTCGGCACGCGCTGCGGGCGCAGGGCGAGGCGTCCGCGCGTCGTGCAGGCACGCGAGTTACGTTGGGACCTCTGTGCCACCGCACGCAGCCAAACCGTGCGCCAATTGGAGGAGTCTCGACACGTTCATCGCGTGATGGCGAAGTGTGGCTTTCGCAGTGGGGGGGGGGGGGAGCAAAAGCTCGTGTCTGCGAGCCGCGCGTGGGGGGCCTGGCTCGGTTGCGCAGTGGGAAAAGAGGCAATGGGGGGGGGGGGGGGGGGTTGGCAAGGCGGGACGAGGGCGTGAATGGCGAGGAGCACTCCTGCTCAACGCTCAGATGAGGAAGACGATGTCGTCCGACAGCATGACCTGGTTGTCGTCCTCCATGCGGGCGAGCGCCGCTCGCACCTCGGCGAGCGAGAAGGCGGCGGTGGCGGCGCCGCCCAAGGCCTCCATGATGGCGGGGATGGCCACGGACTGCGAGTGCGACTTGCGGAAGACGTCCAGCAGAGCCGCCTTGAACTGCTTGAGCCTGCGGGGGGGGAGGGAGGGAGAGGGTGGGGGGGGAGCCGCAGAGGGAACGTAACGGGAGGGGGGAAGCGGCGTCAAATTCAAACGCAAATCGCGATGACGCTTGCGTGGAACCAAAAAAAAACCGCACGTGCGCATGGGTAAACGCTTTACGGCAAGTGTTCTTCGCTAATATTTAGAGGGGGGGGACCCACTGTTCGCTAATAACACACCATCGGCCTGAGGGCCGCCACACATTTGAAACCATTGGGGTTTGACAGCAGCAGCACGATGATGATGGGGGGGGGCGGGGGGGGGTGTTGTCACGTGTTGTGTATTGTCGGGGGCCGCACTAACGGCCACCAGGGGCCACCGGTGTTATTCATTGCTTTACAACATCCGATTGTCTTCACAAGTATTTCCATTGGGAGTGTGAAAGTTGACGGGTTATCCGTCAGCGAAAATGCATTAGCGTATCAGGAAATGGTCCTCTTTTTGCCGTGGTTTGGCACCGCGCGCCTGGGGTCCAGCACCGTGCGAGGAGGCAGCGAGCGTTGTTGGATCGGACAAAATGACAAAACGGCGCAAGGCTCATTTCCCGTGGGCACCGAGACTGCCGTACCCTGGCCCGCCGGCAGAATGATATCACGGATCCCTCCCGTCCGGGATAGGAGTGGTTGCACCCTCGCACTCGTGGGTTTTTCTCCGGGCGCTCTGGTTCCCTCCCGCATGTACGAATATTCATTGGCCGAAAGCGTCTTCGATATGCAGGGAACTGCAGAGCAGAGTGTTTGGTGCCGGCTCACCGCCCGGCAGCAGCCTTCCGGCTCGGTCTGCGGTTCCCCGGGCGACTGAGAGAGCTGCAACCTTGCACGAACGGCGGCATCAAATTAAACCGGATTTCATTAACGATTGCATCGGCTAATCAACGATAAAAAAAAAAAAAAATTTGTAAAAACACAACCGGTAATAGATTAACGAGCCCCAACGCCACCGCCGCGCGAGCGGCTTCTGGACGGGCAAAGCTCGCGTGCGCACAAAACGGCACCTGTCGTCCGTCAGCGAGAGCTTCTTTGCCGCCGCCGCTGCCGCCGCCGCTGCCGCTGCCTCGCTCGTGTCCATCGCCTCCTCGTCGCCCGCGGCCTGCGGCGTCTTGGGCGTCCGCGGGACTGCGACGATCGAGAGAAATGACGATGGACGGTTTAGAGAGCCCGGTTGGCGACGGGCGGTGCGAAAGGAGACGGCATGTATGCGTACATCGAGTCACAGCAACGCCAGACCAAGGTGGATGGGAGGCGGGGTGAGGGGGTGGTGGAGGTGGGGTGAGGGATGGAGGTGGGGGAGGTGGGGGGGGGGATGACCCATGAACGTAGGGGACGGATGCCGGTTATCGCGAGCCACGTGGGGGTGTAACGTGCCGAAGGACGTTGGTGGCACGTTGCGCAGCGCGATTAGAATGAATTCTCACGATACACGCGTTGAAATGCTGCGCGCAACAATCTTTTATTTTTAACGTCATCATTATCATAGTCTTGGTTCTTTCGGTAAAGTCATGTAGAAGGGAAACAATAAAATAATAAAAAATATATATAAAACAATAAAATTCTCACGACGTTTCGACTGCAACACAAGGAATCATCATCAGGTGTGAAAACCACAGCAAGAAAATTTGAAAGTGGCGGGTTTTTTTTTATGTTAGCACCACGGAGAAAGATTTGGCAGTTTGTTCAGATGGACGAGTCCATCTATGTTCGGAAAAGAGTAGGGGGGGGACGAAAATAAGCCACCGTAAGCGTGAACAATCAATGAAGACCCGAAATGGTTTAATCAAATCCTTCCAATGATTGCTAAGCCAGAATCCATCTTCTCAGTTGAAATTGTCTCTGTGCTTGTATATGTGGATAGCCTCATGAATGAATCTCATGGTAGCCAGATGGCTTGCAAAGAACCTGTCTTGGAGAAGTCAATGTCATGTGAGCCTACTGAATTATAACAGTGATCTGCCACGGCCGAGGTGTTGGTCCTACCGTGTTTTAGGTCTGCTTTGTGTTCAAGAATGCGGTCCGAGACATGTCGTTTGGTTTCTCCAATGTAACTACTACCTCAGAGGCAACTTAGTTTGTAGACGCCAGGGTACTGTATGTTCGGAATCACATCTTTTACAGATGGAACCAGATCACGGATTTTATGTAATGTGTTGAATCGGACCTGGATCTTGTGTTTATTCAAGATTTTGGAGATCTTTTTTGTGATCCCCACAATGTAGGGTAAAGTGATGGTTTTGAAAGGCTCATTATCATTTATGAAATGAAAATTTAACGAGACGCGCGCTTTCCCAATATCGATGAGACCGTAAAAACAAGACGGTAAAAAAAGATGTGGTTCTAGCGAGACATTAACTACCTCGCCTGGTATGCAGGCGGTCGTGGGTTCGATCCTGACGCCTGTATATTTGAAGTTGGCATGTTCTCACCGTGGTTGCGTGGATCTTTCCTCGGGTCCTCCAGTTTTTCCCTCCACATTTAGACTCAACATGCGTTTAGAATATTCGGCTGCTTTAAATTTAAACATAAGTCCCTTCGCTGAGCTATCATTTGTGGCCAAGTCGCTGCTGAAAAAGAAATCTAGTAGCTCAGTGGGCCTTACCTCATCAAATAAACATAGTATTGCTTAGTTTTCCGTTTATTCACATTCATTTTCCAAGACGCTCGATAGCGAGCGAATAGCGGCGGGGCGGAAGGTGTAAACAGAGGCGGAGCGGAGCTGACGGCCTCTCACATTCTGGGATCGCCTCCTCCCCGTCGCTGAAGTCGTAGGGGTCTTCTCCGCCCGATTGTTCCTTCCTGCTCGCGCGACTCGTTCCATGCGTGGAGTCCCGGTGCTTCCTGGGTACACACCACCATGGGTACGGGCAAGCGAGCGAAGTCTCGTGTTCAATCGCACTCTCTATTTATCCCCGGGGAAATCTGACGAGCCACACAAAGCTCTATTTCACACTCGACGACGACCCGCCAGCCGCGATCGCTCTCGATTCGTCCAATGTGATCGATGTGCAGATGTGGACGCAATTACCAACACGTGGGTGTCAAGTGCGGCCGCCTACGCTGAATGTGCAATGACAAAGCATCAGCGGTCACGGTAAGAAATACGCTCGTGACAAATCATCCAAAATTGCGCACAAACTCGTCGGATCTCCGTAAATTAAGGGTTGGTGCCCTTCTTTACCCTTTCCTGTTTCGAGACGTCTGCAAGTTGCAGGGTGGGTCTCATTCACTGTTGAATCTCGGAATGGACAAGCAGTTCAGCGTTAAATGTACTGAGAGAGGCGAAAGCGCTGTTGTATTTCAAGACATTGTACTCACCGCAGATAGGACCGCACTCTACGATAGGTGCCACAAAACTGTGCCACATGCCCTCTCGCATGACCTGGTGGGGGAGCCTCGGTATCGATTACATTAGTTTCATTAAATTGTTTTGTTCCAGTTCCATGTCCATGACGTACATGTTCGCCAGAGCTTCCGCAGGTGGTAGGACGTGGAGCTACGAGGTCTGGCCAGGAGATAGTGTGTCGCAGTGCCGCGTGTCACCCCTGGTATGTGTGGTGGCTTTTCTCCGGCTGCTGGTTTCATCCCCCACGAAGCCAAAACATACATCCAATCGAATATGGCCAAACAATTCCAATGCAGAGGACGCGATATTAAAGTTTTCCAAGGTAAATAACTGCCTCGTGATTACATTAAACGGCCTCGCATGGAAAATGGGGCAAAAACCAATAATAACTTTTCAAGGTAAAAAAAATTTATGAAAATTTTAACACACCGAGGTCCCGTTGAAATGGCCATCGCTGGCCCACAACCCTCCACCCCCCTCCCCCCAAGCTACTATTGCGCCGTACCGTTTCTTGCGGGCACTCTGCTTCTGGCTCGTCCCGTTGAGCCCCTCGCCATCGCTCGCGTCGCCACCTTCCTCGTCGTCAATCTCCTCCTCCTCCTCCTCCTCGTCGTGCCGCTTCTTTTTCCGCTTCTTCTCCAGCACCTTACAGGGGAGAGGGGGGGGGGGGGCGAGCGCAGCGACGCGTCAGCACGCTCGATGACCAGACGACGAGTTTATTTCCATCACGGTTGCTGGGCGCAGGCCCAAAAAAGCCCGAAACGGATCAACGAGAATACATCAGGGGTGCCACGGTGGCTAGGAGATGTTAACTACCTCGCCCGGTATACAGGAGGTCGGGGGTTCGATCACAACCCTGACGCCTCTATGTTTTGAGTTTGCATGTTCTCCCCTTGGTCGAGTGGATTTTTTCCCCCGGGTCCTCCGGATTTTCCCTCCAACGTTTATGAACGTGCGTTTAGAGAACTTGGCTGCGATAATTTGCACATAAGGCACTTCGTTGAGCTTTACATTTGTGGCCAAGTCGCTTCTGAAAAAGAGCTACATAGCTCATTGGTTCTTACTTGGTAAAATAAAAAATAATTTTTAGTTTTAGTATGCATATTCTATGCATATTCCCGCACGGTTGAACACAATGGTCGACAGTTGCTCTCCATTCCTTGACTCTTTCCTGATGCGGTTTGGGGACTTTTGCCTGTGGTTTAGGTTGCGTGACATGTCCGCGCCGCGAGTTAGAACAGCACACCATAGGTAGCCAACCGTGCTAAATCGGAGGTGCGGGGGAAGAACAATAAACATTTAATCGATTCGCTGAAGTGTAAGAAAGAAGAGTTTATGCGTCGCTGGAAACAAGCTAGGTTATTATTAAGCGTAAAGGGGGGAAAAGAAGACGGGAGGGAATTCCCAAGTGGAGCAGTGCGAGGGTTGAAACAGAAAGCGGTGCAACCTGCAGTGCGGTAGGCGAGTGGGTGAGTGGGCGAGCGTGCTGTCATGAAATGCAGTGCAGTGGTCAAAAACAGTGAGGATGAGATTACACCATGAACCTGGGTAGACAGAGTCCTCGACATGGCGAGGGGGGGGGGTGAGAATTGGAGACCAACAGCTGGCTGAATCGCAACCCTCATTTGTGACATTTCATCGATTTGCCGACAACTGGCCGAGCTCTCCTCGATGGTTCTCTGCAGTCGGCGAGCGTGCATGCGTGCACTCGCGTCCGCAAGTGGCACCTTCTTGAAGTAGGCGTACTGGATGAGCTCCACGGCCGCCTCCGCGTCCTGCAGGGCGATGGTCTTGCTCATGCGCGCCTTTGCGTGTGCCGTCGACAGGCGGATCATCGTCTCCAACGTGCGAGCCGTCACCGGCATCGTCTGCGCATGGCAGCAAAAACGGCAACAGCGGCGGCGGCAACCTTTACAGACCGGGTCCTCCGGTTTTACCCCTCCACATTTATAAACGTGCTTTTAGAGTATTTGGCTGCGATACATTTCCACGTGATAAGCCACTTCGTATGTGGCCAGATCACTTCTGATAATTTGTGGCCAGATCACTTCTGAAAAAGAGCTCAGTGGGCCTTACCTGGAACAATAAAAGTGTTTGAGTTGTTAGCTACGTTAGGGGAAGAGGCAAACGTAGAAGACAGACAGGGTGGCCAGGGCACAACCAACAGCGCTTGGCGCCCGGAGAGTAATGCAATGCGGTGGGCGATACTTGGCCCCAAGAGCAAGGACTCACACTATGCACGTATATTGAACTTCTTTCGCACCGTACGTAGCAAGCCATGCTAATCGGAGGTGTGGGGGAAGGACAACAAACTAAAGCCAAAAATCTGTTGTAAAAGAATTGCGTTTTAAATCTAATTTAAAAAGTGCACAGCTCCAGTTGCATTCCTAATACGAGCGTTCGAGACGGCCGCAGAAGCGCATCTGAAAGCGAAATCCAAAGCATCGCCACCGCCACCACCGCTTAACATTCGCACCGCAGCGCCCAGGCCAACGCGGCCAGCAGCTGCACGGGCGGGCTGCTGGCGGGCCCCACGGTGCCGGCGGTCGCACCCACCCTGGCCACGTCGGCGCTCATCTGGTCGAGGCTGCGCAGCTTGGAGTACTCTTCGGCGATGAAGTCGGCCGATTCTCGCGTGAGCACGGGCTTGATGATCTTGGCCAGGTGGATGTACTTGCGCATGAACTGCATGCTCACGATCTTCTCCCTGCGCACGGGCGACACGCATGGCGGGGGGGGGAGGGGGGGGGGGGCGTGCCGGCGCGGCTGTCGCTCGTCATTTGGCATCGGAAACACCGTCACAGTTTAACCGCTTGTCCTACAGGTGGACCCCCGACTTACGACGGCTTGACTTGCGACCCCCTTGCACCCCCCTGCAACGACCTTTCTCATAGTCAGTAAGACCCCCAGAGTTTTTTTTCAGAAGGGTAATTGGATTACTAGTTTTTAGCACACGCCGGTCGATTGCTCGGTCATATAACGCTCGCGTTGAAGCTGTATTTGTCACACGGATGATGGTCCCGTTTCGCCGGTTGCCCGGCTATTTTACAAGTAAAGTCTCCCGTGGGGCAACGAGCAAAGCAGCAGCAATCACAACAACGCGAAAACGTCGATACTGCAGAGAACGAGTACAGGGTCCCCGTGAGGAATATCGCACGGCTGACGAACCACGTGTGGGGGGGGGGGGAAGGAAAAAAACAGCGAAAATATGAGAGCAAGAGGTGTTGGGGGGAAAAAAAAGGTACAAAAGCAATTAAAAAGTTAGGTTACAGGCGCTGTTGTGATTTAACAGGGAAATAATGAGAGAGAGAGTGAAGGAGGGATCCAAGCTGTAGGATGAGCGGCAGGGGAAGTCGGGAAACGTGGAGCGGCAACGCGGGGCAGACTTTTGACCAAAGGAAGGCTCGGCCAAAAAAAACTGGTGGGAGGCGCAACGCACTTGCGGCGGCTGGGCCCGTGCAGCAGGTTGTCGTGCTTCTCGTAAACCTGCATGCTCCGCTCCTCCTCCTCCACCGCGTCCGGGTCCTCCGTCGCCAGGATGTCCACCGTGCTCCCCAGCGGCATCGCTGCACGCGCCCGGCGCCGATGCGAGCACGCATGAACGTGCGTTGTGTGTGCGTGCGTGCGTATGTATGCAAATGCAGCCGATGTTTTTTGCGTATGTGGCCCATTAGTCTCGAAGCGATAAATAGATCCAATCGATTTTAACGTAATGCTCAGTCTGGGACGCATTGCAGCATTATTATCGGATAAACGCGCAGGTGCGTGCGCGTTAACGATTAGCACGGTTGGCTGCGTACGGTGTGAAAGAAGTTCAACATAAATACAAGATAAATGTTCCCCATTCCTGGGCTTTTCTATTAAAATAGTGAGGGGAAAATTTTTTATGATCCCCTGCTGATTTTGTACGTTTGCCCACTGACAAAGAAATGATCAGTCTATAATTTTAATGGTAGGTTTATTTGAACAGTGATAGACAGAATAACAAAAAAAATCCAGAAAAACGCTTGTCAAAAATGTTATAAATTGATTTGCATTTTAATGAGGAAAATAAGTATTTGACCCCCTCTCAATCAGAAATATTTCTGGCTCCCAGGTGTCTTTTATACAGGTAACGAGCTGAGATTAGGAGCACACTCTTAAAGGGAGTGCTCCTAATCTCAGCTTGTTACCTGTATAAAAGGCACCTGTCCACAGAAGCAATCAATCAATCAGATTCCAAACTCTCCACCATGGCCAAGAACAAAGAGCTCTCCAAGGATGTCAGGGACAAGATTGTAGACCTACACAAGGCTGGAATGGGCTACAAGACCATTGCCAAGCAGCTTGGTGAGAAGGTGACAACAGTTGGTGCGATTATTCGCAAATGGAAGAAACACAAAAGAACTGTCAATCTCCCTCGGCCTGGGGCTCCATGCAAGATCTCACCTCGTGGGGTTGCAACGATCATGAGAACAGTGAGGAATCAGCCCAGAACTACACGGGAGGATCTTGTCAATGATCTCAAGGCAGCTGGGACCATAGTCACCAAGAAAACAATTGGTAACACTAAGCCGTGAAGGACTGAAATCCTGCAGCGCCCGTCTGACCTCTGTGATTGCCAACAAGGGTTTTGCCACCAAGTACTAAGTCATGTTTTGCAGAGGGGTCAAATACTTATTCCCTCATTAAAATGCAAATCAATTTATAACATTTTTGACAAGCGTTATTCTGGATTTTTGTTGTTATTCTGTCTCTTACTGTTACAATGTTACCTACCATTAAAATTATAGACTGATAATTTCTTTATCAGTGGGCAAACGTACAAAATCAGCAGGGGATCAAATACTTTTTTCCCCTCACTGTAAGTCGACATAAACAATCCGTTATTTCAACAAGCGTGTGACAGAAGTGACCTGGGCATGTGTGTGCATTCATGTAGCGGTTAGCTGGCTGCACTACGAACCCGGCGTCACAAGTTCAATTCCTGCTCAAGCCCAACACCATTGACGATGATCTGAACCGGTCCAGGGCCTCACCTAGGTCGACTCAGCCTCAAATGAGTACCTGGTATGATGTTTAAATATCCACAGTCGGGGAAAAAAAGGCTGGCCTTCGGAGGTGCTCGCTGACAGCACTTTCCCCAACAGTCATTTAAGGCTACACGGGGGATCTTTGTCACGAGCGGCCAACACTCGGTGCGCATAGCTGGAGCGCGCGCGTGCTCTCACCATCGCCGTCCTGCTCCCCGACTGCGCGGTAGCGGTGCATGCGCAGCACGTGGTCGCTGATCTCGCGGTCGTACTCGGGGTCGGTCTGGTCGAGCACGATGAAGAGGAGGTCAAAGCGAGAGAGCAGCGAGTCCTGCAGCCCGATGTTCTCCATGGGCGTCTTGTACTGGTCGTACTGCACGCGCCGACAACGGGGGCAACACCACGCCGCTCAGCGCGACGGGACGGTGCGGCGCCACGCTGCTGGTGCGCTGCGGCGCCGGGGTTGTGCGGTGCGGGACTGGGACGCGCGTCTCACCCGTCCGTAGATGGGGTTGGCCGCGGCCAGCACGCTGCAGCGCGCGTTGAGGCGCGCGTGGATGCCGGCCTTGGCGATGGTGACACGGCCCTGCTCCATCACCTCGTGGATCGCCGTGCGGTCCATGTCCGTCATCTTGTCGAACTCGTCGATGCAAACGACGCCGCGGTCGCCCAGCACCATGGCGCCCGCCTCCAGGCGGCGCTCGCCTGGTGCACGGCAAGTACAAGCGTGAGTACACGCGTGAGTACAGGAGTACAAGCGTGAGTACAAGCGTGAGTACAGGAGTACAAGCGTGAGTACAGGGGTACAAGCGTGAGTACAGGAGTACACACCACGCCCACCGCCTTATTTTTCTCTCCGCTCGCCCCTCCACTTCGTCTCGTCCCTCCCCTACCCATTCGTGATCCCCAAATCACCTCCATCGCGGGTCACTCATTCCTCACGCCTTGCTCGATAAAGCTCAAGTGGGGGAGCGAGCGTCGCCTACCGGTCTCCTGGTCGGTGGTGACGGCGGCGGTGAGGCCGACGCCGGAGGAGCCGCGGCCCGTGGTGGGGATGGCGCGCGGCGCCGTGTGCAGCACGTAGCGCAGCATCTGAGACTTGGCCACCGACGGGTCGCCTGGGGTCGCACGGGGCGACAAAGTGACCACTCCGAGACAATGACAAGACTCCCCCCGCATTGGGGCCAGCGCCGTTAGTGAGCACCGATGAACGCCAACACGGCACACGAGAACACAAGGTTGAGAGCTATTTATTTCGACCATGAATTACGGCGTGACCTGCATATAAGGTGCGATTGACATACGTGCTAGGAAATAAAAAGCCCAACGTAATATGCGGCTGCGGCATTCGCGATACGTTTTGCGAAAATGAAGATGCGACCTCGTATCGCACAACAATTAAACCGTTTAAAAACTGGCCACAAATGAAAGCTCAACGAAGTGGCTTAACACGTGGGAATATATAGCAGCCAAATACTCGATATGCATGCTGATTCTAAATGCGGAGTGAAAAACTGGAGTCCCCGGAGAAAAATCCACGCGACCACGGGGAGAACATGCACACTCCAAATATAGAGGCGTTGGGTGGTTGGGATATATACTCTTTGGTTCTATTCGGTAAAGTCACGTAGGTAAAAATAAAATAACAAAAATCACGACTTTACCGAATAGAACCAAAGAGTATGGATCCTTGCAGTCACGAAAGCTTCAAATCTAGAATTGGTTGGGATATAACCTACGACCTCCTGCATACCAGGCGAAGGAGTTAACATGTCGACCACCGTGACGCCCCATGGCGGCGTATCGCAGCAACCCTAATTAATGCAGAGCCTCTAGCATCCATCGGGCTCATTACCGATGAGCAGCACGTTGATGTCCCCTCGGATTCGAGAGCCGTTGTCCAGGATTTTCTCAGTGCCTCCCAGGAGCAGACAGAGCACGGCCTTCTTGATGTACTCGTGGCCGTGGATGCTCGGAGCGAGGGACTTGGACAGCTGGTCGAAGATGTTCTGTCATGGTACGAGCGCAAACGTCGCATTGGCGTGTGCAGGGTAGCGCAACAAAGACATAAATCCCCTCCCACTCCCCCCCCCCCCCCACCGTGTAGCCTTTAACAGACTGTAGGGGCCAAGTGCTGATTAAATGCGATTCAGGAAAAAAATAGGCATTGCCTTCGGGCATTCAAAGTATACATCTCAGCAAAAGCTTTGATTCTGAAATTCTGTCACCAATCCTACGCCGGGGGCCTGACCTTTGAGTGAGTCTTGCTGAACGTTTTGATCTTGTTGACATCTTCCCCGGAGAAGGTAGGGACCACCTCCTTGTTCATCTGCTTCACGTTGTTACCGATCAAAATGGTCCTGGGTGGAACGAAAGCGGCGCGGAGGGGGCGGGAAACGACAGAAAAGCCGTTCGGCGTCAAGGGAAAAAAAAGAAAGAAAAAAACAAGCCGCAAGCAAAAGACACGCGGAGCTTCCTAGCGAACATCATGGGTGGTGTAGGTGCAGAGCTACAACTACGATTTCACATTGAAGTGGGTCAAGCCAGACAACCGCATCAGGAGTAGCAGAGTGGATCGCCGCGATGTCTCCTTCGTATTTGTGGATCGGGGCATTGCGGCGTTTTGAATTTTCAATTTGTGCATCAAGCATCCACATCTGCCATAGTTTGTGCAGTGGATGCGGTTTAGGGTGGACCGTGAGCTTCGTGGAACATCAAACCTAGGGTTCTTCTGCGTTGGGGTCTTATACAAGGTGTATGTCAGGGAGGTATTTTGAACTCCGTTCAGCCTCTCCAAGCTTCATCGGGGTTGAACTTTGCACCGCTGAGAGTTAAACGCAAACCACCGCGAGTTGAACACCGATGAAGCGTGGAGAGCTGAATGGAGATCACAAGACCTCACAAATCGTTCGGCTATTGCAGGACGACCGTGAGAGCTCACGCGGCGGCGGCGGCGGCGGCAGCAGCAGCAACGCGAATCGTCAGATCACCACCTCCCCCCTGGACCGGGGGTCACTCACCGGAAAGTGCCCGACGTGTATCCGGCCTTCTTGCCGGGCAGGCAGCGGAAGGTGCCGATGACCTGCACGCGGTCGCCGGGCTTGCAGCGGTCCACCAGGTCGTCGTCCAGCACCACGTCGGCCGAGCGGGGCAGCTGTCCCGCGGGGGCCTTCTCGGGCATCTCCTGCAGGCTGATGGTCTGGTGGTCGCGGTAGATAGAGAGGCCGTACTCTGTCTCCAGCGGGTTGCTCTCCTCGTCCTGCCGGTGAGGTGGGGGAGTGGGGTTGGGGGTTGGCGGGGAGCAGATTGGAGAGGTGAAGGCCGGAGAAAATCGTCCGACAACACTCGGGTCTTAAATTATACGAAATGATTATTTGCTTGTAACCGCGCACGGGTATTCGTTCGCTCTCAAGAGAGTATGATAGAGAGGCGCGGGAAACCACAGAAAAGCAAAAAGGCACCAGATCCGGTGGCAAACCATTGCCCGAAATCTGTGGCCCTATATGTTTGGCCAACAAAGGTAGATGCAGCCCAAATAAGCTCAGTAAAGTCATGCATATTTTTGGTTATGCACATGCGTTTGTCCATGAAAGAAATTCAACGAGCAGTACGGCAGGTGACCTGTAATGCTCAGGGCAAATGCGTTTGTGTATGTCCGATGGATAGTTTTGTGTTTGCATTTTGCGAAGAGCCCTTTTTGCTGTGGGTTTTTACCTGAAGAACACTTCGATCAATTTGTCTCGCTTTCAACAGGGCGAGTCTCTAACAGCCGCGCAACTTTATGCCGAAGCTTTGCTCACGTTGAACGATCTTCACGAGAGTTGCAGAGACGGCCGTCGATGGTAATGAAACGGCCGTTTTTGTGGTAGGACGGCGAGCTGGCGATGGTGAGAGACTAAGACACCGATTGATGGATGACCAGAACAGCTGGGCGCTCACCTTGGTGGGGTAGGCGGCGCTGCTGGGGAAGGCATCGAGCGAGGTGAGGTCGCTGTACTTCCTCTCGATGCTTTTCTGGGTGGCGGGGCAGTAGTGAACACTGCGCACCACCTTGGGACGCACCAAGGAGCCTGGCCCACAACAAAACGTACAGCCAAGTGAGCAACAACGAAGAAAAATCGTGCACATGCATGGACTCCGTAACAACAATCCCACGAGTTTGTTGTCGGAAGATCCAGTAGACTCGCGATTATCCACGTGCGGTTTATCCGATTTTCAGATTAACCGCGCACCCGAGATTTTGACATAACTAACTCGCGGAGTTTCCCTTAAGCCCAAAATAATAATCTAAACACAGTTTTACAATGTTATTCTTGGAAATGTTAATTACAAGTGACGCGCTTAAACCGGATGAATGTGCACTGGTTAATCCGAAATCCACATGATCGCCTCTACGGTACAATACTGTCGTTGCATATCTTGACAACGGTGGGTGGATTATGATTGATGTTGATTGGCGTGGTTCCGCTATCCGCTTGGTGAGCTGAGCCTTCTGCGCGGGAGCAGGAAAGTGTCATCACCTAGCACGTGCATAGATCGATCGGTCGATCGTTAGTGTTTATTAGCAATCGAAAGAGTAACAATCAAAATCCTAAGTTGTGCTTCAAAAACCACTCATTTATACGTAAATTAGTGTTTTTTGGGATAGAGATCCGCAGAAAATAAATACTTTTGGATTATCCGCGATTTTGAAATTATCTGCGGACGTCCTCCCCGTCATCAGCGTGGACAATCGAGAGTCTACTGCATTAAATGTGCAGTAGGAAAGCTGACGGGTATCGCTTTATAGCAATATAAAACATCTTTACCTGTTCAGATTGAAAGCAAAACGTTCACAATGAACCACGGGTACCTTTGGGATTGTGAAATTTTTCACAAATTAAAAAAAAGATGACTTGTGATTTCCGTTTCCTTGCTTAATCAGGTTTGCGGTGCGCAGCAATAGCGCCGTGGGTGAGCGCACTGCGGTCCAAACGCCGGCGATCCAAGTTCAATTCCAGGCCACTGACCGACACGTTATTGCAAGTCTGGTCAAAGAAACACCCAATCCTGTTGAAGCCTTCACCCGGCAGTGAAACAGCCACGTTCCGCTAACGATGACTACGACGACTCTTCACGGGCGGGCGGGCGAGGGGCGTGGACTCACACTTGGTGACGATGCCCTCCACGCACACCATGTTGCCGAGGAAGCGAGAGGTGAGGGTGCGTGGCGACAGGTGTCGAGCGCCAAAGCTGCCCTCGAGCCCCACGTAGAACGACTCAAACTGCTTGGCGTAGGTTCCGTCCACGTTCCCCACGAGCTCTTTGAGCGCCTGCTGGAAGGCCAGCAGCTCCTCGAACGAGCTGTTCAGCAGCCTGAGGCACGGGGGGGGGGGGGGGGGGGACACGGGACCCGACAGCGTTGCAAGCGGCATTCAGAAGCGGCAGGAAATTATCGGGAACCACTAGCCCCCCCTCCCCGCCACCCCCACCCACCCTTCCCCCCACCGTTTCCATCGCTGTGGGGGGGGGGGGGTCGTGGAGGGTTATTTGACCATATTTCACCAAGTGCCGGGTTGGTGAGTTTGTTCACTGAAGTAATTTACTTGTTTAGCCAGGAAGCCACACAATGAGTCGTAGGACTCTTTTGCAGGAGGGTCCGGCGTCGGGATTTCACTTTGAAGAAGTGCGCTCAGCCAATTGACGACGAGCATTTGTTATACACGTGGGAGAAAACCCACGCGTATGAAAGTAGGAAACGCTCCGTACAGACGGAAGCAGGTGGCGATTAGTCCACTTGCTGTGCTGCCTTCTCCCGGCGAACCAGGGTATGGGCTCCTCGACGCCCACGGGAAGGGAGTTTCACAACATTTGTGCGATACGCCAACCCTCGCTGCCTCCACAGAGCCGGATTAGAGGCGTGCATCACCGCTGCTCGGCTGAGGAGGCAGACAGTACAATACAAGTGGATTTTTATATGCTGCTCTCTGCTGTCCATTGCACAGGCCTGCAGCCTATAGCCTTCACAACCCGTCATGCACGGTGGTTGCCCATCCAATAACTGTCCAATCTCAACCCTTGCTTAGCAACGTCTTAGACCTGATGATATCCGGTCATCGGCTTCACTTAAGTAGGGAGCCATATTTTTTTACTTTTGAGCCATGCAATAAGCAGAACTCGTTTTTTTAACATTTTTTTTATTTTACCAAGTAAGGACCACGAAGCCATATAGCTCTTTTCAAACGCGACTTGGCCACAAATGATATCCCAACGAAGAGGCTTATCACGTGGAAATTTAAAGCAGCCAAATACTCTAACGCATTTTCATTCTAAACATGGCGAGGGAAAAAAAACAGAGGACCTGGAGAGAGACATGCAAACTCCAAATATACGGGCGTCAAGGTCGGGATCAAACCCAAGTCCTCCAACGTAACAGACGAGGTAGTTAACTCCACTCTCATTTTTACGATGCAATATCTTTGCCCCGTTATTCAATAGTTCCTAAGTGTTCAGTGAGAAGAAAAGCGAACTGGACTGGTGGTCTCTGCTGGCAGGCAAAGCCCCGGTGGTGTAGGAGGTGCGCACAGGAGCGGGGGGGGGGGAAATCTCACAGGTTGGCCCTCTTCTCATTCTTGCGTCGCAGATCGTTGATGTTGACGACGAGGCGGCACTGGTTGTCATTGATCATGTCGCGCACTTTGCCATAGTAAACCCCCTGGTCTTCCTGCAGGCGCGGACAAAGGGGAGGTTACACGCGCCCCGTCATATGCAGCCTCGCCCGCACCACACTGCGGCGCTGTTTAAGAAACACGCTAGCAAATCGGGAAAGACGATGCAATGTCCACAACTGGATAATGCCCGCAAGCAACAGCGCGTTTTAGTTAACTCCATCACCCACCTCCTGCCTTTGCTCAGTGTCAATCATATGTACATAAACAAATCGACCACGTCAATAACGTGTTGACATTTTTGCGCACGTCTCTACCTTTCTTGAGTACCAATCATTGCTTTGTTCATCACAAGATGAACTCCACTATAAGCAATCTAACACTTCCCTCCACGGCTGAGCAATAACAACACACAGCACTGGTCCAAATGATATGTGCACAGTACATTATTACGTTGCACTTTCGCAGTGTCGCACATCCACCCACCCCAACTGGCCGTCTGTGTAAGAAAAAAGCTTTATAGCTCATCGGATTCCTCCAGTATAAATAAATATTCTGATTCTGAACTACCCACACCCAGTGGCACATTTTGTTCATTGTGTAACTCATCGGATCTAACCACATATCCGCCTGTGTATTAATCCCAAGCGAGTGAAGACAACGCAGCTGAACGCTTAATTTAAATATCGAGTTCAATACGCGCACCGTTTAAGAGTACCTATTAAAGTCGCATGCACGGTACACGAGGGGGGTGGCCAGCACCACGCCCGGCCGCCTTTGTCTCCCTAAGTGGCGATGTGTAAACAGGTGCTCATTTGAGGCCGAGTCGACCTAGGGGAGGCCCAGAACCGGTTCAGATAGTCGTCACTGGTGGTGTTGGGTGGCCGTGAGCGGAAATCGTTACTCGGATCGCCGGGTTCGTAGCGCAGAGCACTAACCGCTGCACCACCGCTCCCCACAAACAAAGACCCCCCCCCCCACCATACAGCCTTAACACACACACGGGCCCGTACAACTGACTTCATACAAGACCAGCATACGTTCGTTGCGTTGTGTCCTACTTTAGTAAACGTATCCGCCACGGCCGAACGTTCGGACACGTTATCAAATAACTTGACAGCTGGCTACCACACAACTCGAGGTCACGGCATGCAACTTTAAAAACAAAACCCAAGCGGTTATTTCGTAAGATGAACGTCGAAAACTCAATTTGAGGGCAGCAGCAGCAACTACAACAATACAAACACTGGAGTGTCAGCCCATCGTCATCATCACGATCCACGGGCAGATAGCCATGTAGGTGTCCACTGCACATTTGTGTCATTTGTTTCAACTTGCCCTCTCTCTTGTATTAAATACGCTCAAGTGGCGCCACGTATTGCCGGCACCAATCTCTCATGTCGTCGTCAAGCCGTTCTCTCGGTGAGCTCTTCCTCTCTTTCCGAACAACAACACGTTTTACTTTACTTGTTGTCCATCCTACTACAACACGTGTCCAAATAGTGGCCAAGTTTACTTCTCATCGCCACTGTTAGCAGCATCATCATCATCATCGTCAAGTCGTCTTCCTCGATGTGCAACCTGCATCTTGCTTTAGACGTTGGTCACTCTTTTGGGTCCAGTTTAGACGCAGCAGCGCTAATCCGTCTGGCAGCAGCGATACATTTCCAGTGCCGATATCCTATCTCTTGTCAGTCAGTCTTTTGTTTGTTTACACGTCCAAGTCTCGCAGGCAATGCAACGCTCTACCGAACTCGCGTTGTTATTAAGATGTCGTTTAATCCGCCAATTTACACTAACGCGTTGTTGTTCATCCCCCCCCCCGCACCTCCCATCAGCACGCTTGGCTACGTACGGTGCAAAAGAAGTTTAACATACATTTAGTCAAAGACAGATATTGGGCCTCTCCAATGGACGCGCAGTGCACACGAGGCACGGCAACTTGAACTGCGCTTATTACTCAACACACGCGCGCACACTCCCCTGCACCAAACAGAGAACAGTAGCGACATGAAGCCGTCTACGGCGCTCGTTAATAAAACCAAAAACACACGCGCTCGTATTTAATGGAGTACGGTTTTTTTGTTGCATAAAACGGCAACAAGGCGCGCAGACTGAGCGAGCGAGCGAGAGCAATGAGTAAAAAAAATGAACCCGGGGCGCGATCCTACATCATCGTCCAGAAAGTCCAGGTAGGCTCGCTTGGCTTCCCTCAGCTCCTGGTTCTCCACGTCGTCCATCTTCGCGAGAGGAAGGGTTGAGACTTTAGAGCACCGCGGAGCTCAGGAAACGACAACAGAGGCACGGGAGCGAGATGACTGCAGCGGCAATGGACGCGGCGGGAGGCCAGTGGCGGGAAAAGAGAAAAAAAGACGTTTCCCGCCAAATCGAGAGCACGTGGACTGTGACGCGCGCGGCGAGTTACTTCTGTAAGAGTATAAGCACACAAGTGCTTGTTTCTATCTCGGCCCGGAACCGCCGTCCGCCTTCGTGGAGGGAGGGGTGGGGTTGTTTCAACCGGGGTCGAGTAAGACCACGTCAGTTGCCAAGGGCCACGTTTAAAGTACTGTAACTACTAATGACGTGCGATGCGTCACGTGTGACGTGCTGTACACGGAGCTGTCCGGGGCTGATCTCCGGAAAATGTTTCCCTGCACACGCCCCGCCCCGGGGGGAGGAGAGTGGCGTAGTGGTGGGCAGGGGGGGGGGGCTTTAAATATTCTGTGGGAAATTAAGTCCTGCAGAGTATTGCACAGGGAGGTCCAGATGTCTTGTGACCCCCCCCCCCCCCCCCCAAAATATATAATTGACTCCTAATATATTTTGTTTCCTTTGCATATATTTTTTAATATATATAAACCTTACTTTAAAAAAACTGTTAAGTTTTAGATAATTAAATGGGGGGGGGGGTCACGTCACATTTGGACCACCCTGTAGAACGTGTAATAAATAGTACTCTGCAAGATGCCCTGGATGTAAAAGGTGATGTTTATTCCTACATTGAATCATGTTCAACCCTTTACCAACCCGCTTCTGAATCGAAGGCCTCCGAATACTGAGTCGGGCATGCTCGTTGTTTGACCATACTTCACCCTAAATCATAAGCGTCGCGGAGAGCAATAAATTACAATAATATATATTCCATCTTTCCCCTCCACATAAAAAAAAAACATTATTTACACAACCCCATCGGTCCCACGGCTTCCTGGTGAATGCATCGTTTAAGCAGCAATTTGTTCAATACAAGCCAACGTCGGACCGGTTTTGACACAGTGTCTCATCAGCAGTCAGGCTTGCTTGACAATAATGCTGGTGACTTTGTCACGTTATAGGTAGATGTTTTTTTTTATATTTATTTTGAACGTGTGTGGTTCCTGGTTGCACGCAGGCTTAAATAATGCAGAATAAAGTACAACACAATCAGCCCGCTAATCAGGGCGGGTTTGTGAATTTGGCAAAGTCTGGACTGGTTCCGATAACGCCAGAGGCGTTTATCACGATCGGTAACCGTCACACAAGGCACCAATGTTCTTTGGTTATTTCGGTAAAGTCACGTAGAATGAGAATAAAATAATAAATTAATAAAATAAAATAACAATAGAATTCTCACGACGTTTCGGCCACAACACAAGCGGCCTTCTTCAGACGGGTCTGTTCCTTTCACCTGAAGAAGGCCGCTTGTGTTGTGGCCGAAACGTCGTGAGAATTTTATTGTGTTATTTTACTTTATTGATTTATTATTTTATTCTCATTCTACGTGACTTTACCGAAAGAACCAAAGAAGATGAATCCTTGCAGTCACGAAAGCTTTAAATCGAAAGGCACCAATGCTTGATTACAATTCACCGAAAGGACACAAGGTCAATGATGTGCGTAACAAGCGCTGTATTTGACATTAAAACGCCAAATAGAGATCAGAGAACAGGGGCCGTCCATAAATGACGTCACGCACATAGGGGGGGGGAGGGGTCAGAGATTTGTGACGATGTGTGACGAGGGGGGGGGGTGTTTGAGGAATGTGACGTCATCATCAAAATGCGCAACTTTAAATAAATATAGACAACACGTTCTACTTAATTAAATAGACTTTTTAATAAATGTTTTCTCCTACAACATCAGAGTGCAGCGCCACATTAAATACGCACTACAATGACAATAGTTTAAAGCGATTTGAAGCATGTTTTATTTGGGGGGGGCAGAGCTTTGTGACGTCATATTTGAGGGGGGGGTCTGACTTTTTGTGACACCGTGTGACGAGGGGAGGGGGGGTCAAAAATCGTCCTAAATCGCGTGACGTCATTTATGGACGGCCCCACAGTCGCCGGCACCGTTGAGCCGTTGGCTTTGAACCTGGGGTTTGAACTGTAGGTGATCTAAACCGGGTGAATAGTTTCAGCATTGTCATCAGTAACTGCACAAGCATTCTATGATGCAACATTTAGTTTTTCATAATAATATTGTCGCGTTGCTTCTTGCGGTGTGGTCAGACATGATGTCAACGTCAACCATCACCCATCCAGAAATGCAGATATGAAATAAATATAAAAGATGTGGTCTTTTAAGTTATATTGTGCTAGCACCAACATCTGTTGACCACAAATAAAAATAAACACAAAGTAAAATATATCACGATATACATTTTCAGCAAACTTTCTGATTGAGAAAAAAAACTTACGTGCCAGTAAAAGTCTAATTTGTGAAAAACGTAATATGGGACGATGACATATTCAACACATTCTGCATTGTTGCATTGTGAGAGGTGGTTGCCTTTATCCAACAGTGGTTAGAACATGGCTGCTGATAACGACGGTGATGACACATTGTGTAAGATTATTATTTTTCTGGGAAGAAAAAAAATTCTCGGAATTATGAGGCATTTTTTTTTTAGAACTTTGCAATGCATTGTGGAACTTCAACCACACGGGTGCGCAGGACACACAGCGGTGCCAGTCACAACCGCCAGTAGCAAAGTGACACTAGGCAGCAGGGTGACCATCGCCGCTACTACAGGGGCGGACAGATCAAGGTACCGTGGTAATCTCTCGGAGTCTCTTTCTCTACGCGCAATGGTGTTACTTGATTTTTTGCGGATGTCCACTGAGGGGCCATTCAACAACATGGGGTCAGAGCTGTTGATTTTGTCTTGTGCCACAACTTTATACTGCGAGGGGGGAGAGCTCTAACTACTTTTTCTGACAATCGTGTTGTTTATAAGAATTGGCTTTACCCTTTCTGGCAATAAAACAGGCGTGAAGATGTAAAAACACCAAACAGAAACTTGTTTTTGCGAGGAATCATGTCTGCATTAACCAATACGTTTTAAAGACAAATCATATATTACCAGAGTATGTTTTTTGCGTGCATGTTCACCACATGTGTGGTTAATGCAGACACGATTCGTCGTTTTAACATCTGAACACAAACTGTTTTGTTTCCAGAAAGGGTAAAATCAATTCTTATATTTGGATACTGGCAAGAAATGTCCCATAGCGTGCTGCTTCAGCGAGAGGGTGATTTTGGTCAGTGTATCAGTAATAGACCTTCCTTTTGTGGAAAAGACAATGATAACAATAAAAACAGTTGAATACTTTAACACCTATTTGCATTCATAGCGAGCTATGAATTATAATTATCAGTGGTTGTGGGTGGTGGGGCGGCGGGGGAGTGGGAGGGTGGCCAAAACATGAAGACGGAGAGTGTGTCATCTGTTGTCTTCACTCAAAGTGCAGGAGCCAGTTTACTTGCCCGACTGCGGCCACATCGGTTACTGATCAGCGACGAGTGAGAGAGGAGCGGTGACTAATTAAAGTAGCGCACTGTGAATTAATGCAGCGCACGGTGACATAGTGGAACGGTCACCCCCTTTGAACTCGTTTTGAGCTGGTGGTCTAAACGAATTATATGGCTACACGTTCAAGCTCTGCTTTGAGCTGGTGGTCTAGGCAAGGCTGAGAGCACTTGCACGCTCAGTGTGGTGTGGTCACATGACATACAAGCGAGGCGTGTTTGAGAGTCGTGCCCTCCTGCTGTTTGTGAGCAGCAGCAGCGCACCTTTGGGTCCCGTTATTGTCCATACGTTTCCAGCTTTCGCACAATTTCCTCTGTTGATGGGTTTTCTCATCATTTGCAGCAATGTGTGGGATTGGAACACGTGCACTTAATACTCCCACGGGAAACCGAGAAAACTCTTTTCTGGAAAGCGGACTTGTTGTGCAAGATGGTCCTGGCTTCTTATTTAGCGTTCCATCTGAAGAATTGTCCCTTCTCCAACACTGATTAAAAACATTTTTTCCCATCATCTCTTTTGGCAGTTTGACTCGTGATATTTAGTCGTCAGCCCCGTTGCGCGCGTGTGTGTGTGTTGCCAACAGTGGGGAGCGATAGTGTAGCGGTTAGCGCGCTGAGCTATGAACCTGGCGACCCGGGTTCGATTCTCGCTCACGGCTAACACCAGTGACGATTATCTGAACCGGTCCCGGGCCTCCCCTAGGTCGACTCAGCCTCAAACGAGTACCTGGTGCGGTGTGTAAACATTGCCACTAGGGAGACAAAGGCGGTCGGACGTGGTGCTGGCCACCCACCCCCTAGTGTACCGTCCCGGCTTTCATAGGTGCTCGCTAACAGCACTTGTCCCTACAGTCTGGCAAGGCTATACGGGGGATCTTTGTCTTTGTTACCAACAGTGTACGATGAACCACGTTGGTTAACCTGGCCTTGATTTAAATGTTTGTGACAAGCCTTTTTACACACAGCACATAATTCGTGCCGGCTTGCGCAATGGCGTTTAGAGAGTGGAATGCTGGCTCCCACGGCGTGTGCTGCAAAAATGGGAACTGCTGCAAACTATGAAGCTTTCCGGAAATCATGGCAGTACGGTGAAGCATTTGCAAATGATGTTCATAATTGTCGGACACATGCTAGCAAATAGTACAGTACTACTAATAATAATGGTGTAGAGGAAAGTCCCACTTAAGTCTAAACACTTTTCAGGACGAACCTGCATTGCGATGTTTGAGGCTTACGTACATTTCTGAGCGGTTTCGCATGTTTACGTGATTTCTCTTTGTTTAGTTTCACTTGTCAAGTGTGTTTACATCCGGTTGCAATCGAGAATTCGCTCGAGCACCGCGGAACTTGGCAACGCAAACTCCCTGTGAGCATAAGCCCGTGGCGCGCGCGAGCACGTGTCTTCTGCAGTTCGGCCTGGGGAGTTTGAGACTCAAAGAGAAGACACTCGTTTTGGTCAGACGCAGGTAAACGCGCAGTCGTGTTGTGTTTCGGTCCCGCGGTCATGGCAGGAATGCTGCTGCTGTGGTTGTAACGTTTGGCACACTGGACTGGCTATCCAGAGGAGGTCGCCGGTTCAATCTCCTGGCGCGGGGCGGTTGACTGTTAAGCGGTGTTTTGAGCCTCGTCTCACACTTTTGGCGTCCTCTGATCTAACACCATTTGAGACGAGGCTCAAAAGAAAGCCTTCTCTGGTGTGGACCAATCAGTTTCAAGGACAATGCATATACTATCAGAGTATGTTTTTTTTGTTTGCATTCTGACCACAAGTATTGTGGTTAATGCAGACAGGATTCCTCGTAAAAAGTTTCAGTTTTGTTGCCAGAAAAAAGGGGAAAACCCTATTCTTATAATTTGGTACTGGCAAAGGAGGTCCCATGATGTAATGCGGTGGTTCTTCTTTACGTGGGGGTGCACGCTGTACCCCCTGGGGGTGAGAGATGTCCTTTTTGGGGGTGCGAGACATGGCCAGATTTTTTTTTTAGAAGCACGGGCACGTAAGCACAACTACTTTTTGACTTAAAACTTTCGTGACTGCAGGAATTCATATTCTTGGTTCTTTCGGTAAAGTTACGTAGATATCAAATAAAATGATGAAATTAAATTAAAAGTAAAACGTCGTGGGTTTTTTGCTTTTATTTTCATTTTATTATTTTTATTTAATTTTCTATCTACGTGACTTTACCGAAAGAACCAAGAATACAACTGCTTTATTTCATCAATCCTACGTATTTATTAACATTATATAAACACGTTTACGACTGAGAATCAAAGGGTTGCAAGGATGCAGTAAAGGTTAAGAACCACCGTGTTTCGGTAAACGTGGCGCGTTTCTTAAATACACCCTCCCGCCACCCAGCGATATCAATGGGTAAACCACAGGTGATCGGTAGGTTACGTGTGGTGGGGATACTTCCACCTCTTCCAAGACGTCTGGCCAGCGTGGAAGAGTAGGCCAAATACCCACGAGAGAGAGGCTCTCTTTGAATTACCTCTGGTGGAGGCCCTTCTGCCAGCAGTGGCGTGAACAAGCGATTGCAGGTCTGCGCCGTTACCTTTCCTTCAGTAAGGCATACAGTACCACGAATGGGCCGTTTAATAGTTTAAAGGTCTGCAAATGTGGGAGGTGTTTAAAAAATACATTCAACTAAATATTCGTTTGTGCACTCGTGCGATTAATCGGACATGGTTTACGTTGCAATCTTTTTAGAGAGTTTATTCCAAGATTGTTTACTCTGTGCCTGTGAATGGATATCACTAAAGGCATTATAAAGCATGTGTTCTAGGCCCTATGTTTCAAGCTCCTTGTCAGCATGCAGTGTGTTTGGCGTATGCGGTTCCAGTTCTTAAGACAGAACACTAGAACAAAAATCAAACAAGCTCAACATTGTGAAGCTGGTAGTATAAGCATGGCGTGGCATTTTTAACATATCGATGCTTACATTTATTTATTATTATAATTAAGGCGTTTACCCTGCAAAGCCTTGTTGAGTCTCAGTGCTCTTTCAGGAGGGTCCTGTGTTGGGATTTCCCCCCCAATTCTATCAGTGAGCGTTGTGCCTGTGGAATGAAACCGGAATACCGAGATTTAAAAAAACCCTTGCAATACGAGGATATAACTCAAACAGTTCACATCTGTCAACCTCGCTGCCATAACCGAGAACGTCTGTGATTCCCTGGCAGTCTCCCATCCAAGTACTAGCCAGCCTTAAACCGGCATAGCTTCTGAGATCTCAAGGAGATCAGACGCATTCAGGGTGACTTCATTGTCGGCTGTCATTTCATGTATCTACGGATGTTGAACTTCTTTCGCACCGTACGTAGCCAACCGTGCTGATCAGTTAAGGGACAACAAACTAGACACGAAAGAAGTTTTAAAGAATTCAGTTTTCAATCGAAACGAGTTTAGTATAGACACTACACATGTTTACCGTTCAACATTAAATTTTCCATAAGAGGGTTTTTTTGGGTTAGATCGCGTATAAATATGTGTCGTTAAACCCGCCACCACCCGACACAGCCAATTAGTAAGGTTTGTCACGTAAACAGAACGTGGCCAATTCGTCACTAGTACAGCACCACCGGTGTGTTGGAGAGCCAAGCCACAACATTTACAATCAGAGTTCGACGTTTCGCCAATAATTACAACTAGCTGCATCAGGCGACAGCCAGATGTGTGGAGAGATGATATTGGTCGCGAAAGCATACGTATGAAATCTTCATTCGCTTCATGTTTTATGAGCATTTTGAACGATATTTTTTTTGTTTACGTAAGGCTGCAATTAAGTTAATCTCAATTACAAAGTATCTCTCTCTGCTAAGGGGATACAGCCACGTTCAGGTCTCGCCGTTTTGGGCTGTGCCTTTGGCACCCTCTCCTCGTCACCGCAGCTGCGTTCGTAGTTGCCGTCCGTTCTCATCACTGGCTGGATGACGAATGGTGTGCAATCCCCAGTCGCTCTCTCTCCCTCCCTCTCCCTTCACCTTATCCAAAAACATTCGCTGTTGTGCACTCTTCGGCAATCGCTCGACATCGATGGGTTCGCGACTGGCACGTGGCGTTGTAAGAGTGCGTGCCGAGCTCGTGGTGCCGTTCGATGCGTTAAACGGTTTGGCCCGATCTCCGGGTTAGGTTACACCCTGTCATACAAAATAACCGTGTAAACGTGGTAAAGGAAATCATTGCAGATGTTTTTTGCGTGTGTGCGTGTCCATTGTTGCATCCTTGTACCACTGCCACTGTTGGTTCTTGAGTTGTAGATGGAATGACGAACAAATGTCTCAATACATAGAGAGTTGTAAGATAATTGGGAGTGCCAAGAGCGATACAATTCAACGTCGATTTATGCTACGTCTGAATGTAATAACATCTCAAAATTCTGTACAATAACAATTGGAATTACTCTTTGTTTTTTTCGGTAAAGTCACGTATAAATAAGAAATAATAAAATAACATAATAGCGTACGACGTTTCGGTTGCAACACAAGCAGCCATCATCAGGTACAGAAGAGCAAAATTTACGAGAGAGGGGAAACACATAACCTCAGATGTATATACAGACACCCAAGTAGGGGGAACTAACACAGATACAACAGGGGACACAGAGAGAGAAGCATACCAAACAAGCAGGGTTTATCAAAATTTGGAAACCATATAAAGCAACACAGACGGTCGGTCAAAAGCTTCAAATCAAGTCTGAACAATTGGAATATTAAACTATATATTACAAAAAATGCATGTAAACTATCTTTCTTATACCGGGTAAGGTCCACTGAGCTATGTAGTTCTTTTTCAGCAGCGACTTGGCCGCAAATGATAGCTCAACGAAGTGGCTTATCATGTTTAAATTTAAAGCAGCCAAATACTATAAACGCATGTTTCAAAATCTGGAGAGGAAAAACTGGAGGACCCGGATAAAAATCTACGCGACCACGGGGAGAGAGATGCAAATTCCAAATATCAAGGCATCAGGGTTAGGACCGAACCCACGACCTCCTGTATACCAGGCGAGGTAGTTAACATCTCCTAGCCACCGTGATGATGAGAGAGACATGCAAACTCCAAATATACAGCAGGCGTCAGGGTCGAACCCACGACCTCCTGTATACCAAGCGAGGTAGTTAACATCTCGCCACTGCGGCGCCCCATTTTTATTTTGTGGAGAGAGGTAGTCAGTCATAGGCACAGGATAAAAAGGAAGACCATGAGTCTGGACTTGAACAGGGGCAGTTAGTCAAGAGCATGGCTTGAGGAATAGGCGTTCCAGACTATGGGGGACAGTGGAGCAATAAAAGTTGACAAAGGGCTTCAAGTGAAAGCCCTCATATCAATTCTAAAGCTCCCAATATGTACATAGAAGCACGTGTACTGTTTGGCATAGTATGATGTTTGTAATTGGTTCGTGCGACCTCCTCTGGCCACTAGTAACTGCTACAGAATATTGTCTCATGTTACGACATGTTTAACATTTTGCAGTGTGCGTAGACAAATAATATATTTAAAAGATCACTTTGAAGGAATATTTAGTAGTTTCACATGTTGTATTTCAAATGTGAACAGATATAATGTTCACATTCCCATACATTCTTCACCCACAGAAAAATACAGTTGAACTATCGTGGGTGGCACTGCCGTTCTGAATGTTTGCCCTTGAATTAATTTTAAACGGATGGTGTAGTTTTTTTTAATCTCCACATGTTTACAGCCAGAGTGAAGTACTTTCACACACACAAGTTATTGTACACACGCCGAAAGGATTCTGAAACGTGCAAATGAACATTTATCTCTGGACATGAGCAACACATTACACATTTTTTTTTGGGACCTCTGCTGCAGGAAGTGGGTTTTGAGGGTGACTTATCACACTGATGAACCTGGCAGAGAACTGCCATGCTGCTTGGTGGCACGTATGTAGAATTAGAATTCGTCATCAACAAAAATGAAAAAAATAAGAAAAAATCAAACAAGCACCCACCACTGACTGGGCCTCGATTCTGATAAAGCTCACGCGGCGCTCTACAACAGCATTAGTCGCTGCAGAAAACAGCAACAGCGGGGATCTGAGGTAGGTGGCACCGTTCTGCTATTTCTCGATTGAGTGGTACACAGTGGGCGAGGCAATGCAGTGTTGATGTTAAGGGGCAATGGACGCATTGCACCATGTGCGTGTTCTATAAAATTTAGCATCAGAATATTTGTTCGTCCTGCAGGAGGAATCCGATGAGCTGTAAAGCTCTTGTTCACAGATGTCCAGTCGGGGCGGGTTAAAACGTTACAACAAACAAGAAAATGTACGATAGGAGTGCACAGTGTAGGATAGGTAAGCACATCACTAAAAAAAAATGCAAGTAAAACGAAACTATTTTTTTTATTTTACCAGGTAAAGCCCAATGAGCTATTAGCTTCTTTTTTCAGAGGCGACCTGGCACACAAATGATAGCTCCTCGAAGTGGCTTATCGCGTAGAAATGTATCGTAGCCAAACTAGATAATCTAAACTTGGCGATACTCAAAACTGGCATGCTGTGATGGCCGTGCCAATTGTGGCTTCATGATGCGGTTGCGTGTACCGCACCATATGCAGTCCCTTGTCAGCATCCACTGCTGGATGAGAGCTTCTCCACACCGTAGATGGTGGTCGTGAGGGTGATTTGACCAGTACTTTTACCGCGCTTGGTCATTGCTCATTGGTTAAGGCGGAGGGGCATAGAAGTATAGTACAACTCTGGATTAAACGCCACTGTCCTCTGCTGCGCACAATGTAGCCCTCGAAACCTGGAATTTGCATTATCCAATAACTATCCAGGCTCCAGCCTGCTTAGCTGCATGAGGCTACAGGTATTTACGAATAATTATCAGTACTGTACTGCGGTGTAATGCATATGGGCACCATTTAGTTGTTTAAAAAGTGTGCACGTTATATGCGCGGTATATTTACACAACTCTGGCGTGCATAAGCTGTTACTGCACTGAAATAGACAGTCATTTCTTAAAGTATTCCTTACATTAGTTTCCTGAAGTTTGTGACATTTTTTATTGGAGTCTCATAATATTAAAAATATAATCCAGACACTCAACAATTACTTTAATCATATATTTGCCCCTCGGATTAGCAAAATTAGTTCAACGTACATACTCTACTTACTCTGCATTACACTGCACAAGGGTAATTTAGTAGTAAGAGAGAACATGATGGACGTTTGTATTGTTATTTAACATAGTAACGCACTTGGAATCTTACATAATTACGAACATTTCCAGTCCATTCTCAATCCACTGTTGGACGAAGGCCTTGCCACTCTGGATCGGTCACGGGTGGGTCGTTTAGCCATACTTCACCGCACCGATCGTTAGGGGTTTATGAAGGGAGGAGGATCCTGACAACCGGGTCAGATATATTCACGAACGCGCGCCACAACCAGGAATTGAAGTCAGGCGGCTTTGCGGGGTTCATAGCGCAATGCGCTAACAGCTGTACCACCACTTCACTCCCTTTCCAATGTTGAAATGTGCGGGTGCGAAACGTACACGCAAAGTTGATTATTTTTCAACAAACAAATGGTATTAATGCACAATAGACGAGGTACAGAGATGCCAAATGTAGTTATTTACACTCCCCCCCAAAACCAACAGTTAAGCAGACTTAGCCTTATTCGAAATGCGTTCCTTTCGGGATGTAGGGAAAATGAAACGCATGGCCGAGGCAGCTAATGTGACGAATCTTTCCTGTGAAAAAACAAAACATATATGTGTCAGCGTGGAAAACAACCCCGCCTTGCACGGGGAAGTGCTTTCTCGACGAAAGCCTTTCATTTCTTGTTTCTCCGTTTGGAAATGAGACTGCCTTGAACACTCAGCACTGTAATAAACTAATAAAATAAAATAACACAATAAAATTCTCACGACGTTGCGGCCACAACACAAGTGGCCTTCTTCAGGTGAAAGGAACAAACCTGTCGGGACGACAGAGCTTCAATGAACGTTGTTAAGATTCGTAGCGTCTTTTAAGCTGGTTGGGAGAAGTGATGCACCTTGTCAAAGGGGTTTACATATCAAACCGGAGAATTTAGCATTGAAATTTCTGATATGTAAACCCCTTTGTGAAGGTGCCTCACTTCTCTAAACCAGCTTAAAAGACGCTACGAATCTTAACAACGTTCACTGAAGCTCTGTCGTCCAGACAGGTTTGTTCCTTTCACCTGAAGAAGGCCACTTGTGTTGTGGTCGAAACGTCGTGAGAATTTTATTGTGTTATTTAATTTTATTATTTTATTCTCATTCTACGTGACTTTACCGAAAGAACCAAAGAAGATGAATCCTTGCAGTCACGAAAGCTTTACATCGAAACTCAGCACTGTATTTATTAAAACGCCGTTGATATATATTTTTTCTTCACGCTCCAAATGTTGAGAGTTGATGTGGCTGATGTAAAGTGGATTCAAGGCAGTGTGCCTGGCCACTTTTTACTTCAGTTATAATAATAATTATTACGACGATATCTGAATCGCTGTCGCCGGCACGTGCGGCAGTAATTGTTAATGTTACGGCTCAAGTTAAATGAAAAAAGGGGATTTTTGTCTATCTTTAGCCTGCTAATTTCCCCGTGTTCACGAAATGGCCACGAACATCGCTTCCCTGTCGCAGCAGCTCGCATCAATCCGAAATTCGTGCCCTTTTCTCTCACTTTAGTACTTGGGCGTCGGTGTGGAACTTTATTTGTTATCAGACTCTGAAGACTTTTCTGTCTGCCAATCATTCTCCCGCGCCTGCGAATGTCCTATTGAAGACCATTGCGTGTGCGTAACAAATTGCATTCATAAAGGGACGAATTCACCTTTCTCAGACAGAAACGTCGGTACTACAATGAGAAGCGTGTGCACGTTACCTCTGTACTTATTACGCGGTCAATGAACACTTCTGGGGCTCTGTTAGCCATCGCGCGTTTGAACTGTTTCGTGAAGAGACGTGTGACTAAACACATCCTCATACCTTAAGGTTGTCACATTTGTTTTAAGCACAGTTTTCAAGAGGCAAAGTGTTTATCGCTAAGTAGCCTCCGACTGATCTCAGCCAGAAATGAGACACAGATCCCTGCAGGAGTGACTGTAATATGTACCGCGCGTATGTATGTGTTCCCCAGTGATCATAGAATGTTGGGCCCCTGTTTTTACAACGGTTCTAAGCAGATTTGTGCAACATTGGAATGTTTTTATCGTTTAACCCTTCGCTATTTATTTTATTAGATTTTGCTTTTGGTGGAGTTCAAATTAATAAATATAAAATAAACAAAAACCACGACGTTTCAATCACAACACAAGCGATCATCATCAGAACATTTTTTTTATCAATTTGAACCTATCTGCGTGACTTTACCGAAAGACCCAAATATTTTTTTTGTTGTTGCTGTTGTTAGCGCGAAAGGTTTCGATAGGAAATGTGAGAGCAAATTAAATATCCACAGACGTGACATTGATCTCTGTTGGCTTTTGTGGTCGGCAGTAACACAACAACGACGACGACAATCAACAGCACGATAGGTTCTGCGTGTCCCCACCACGTGCGCAGCTCCAGGGAGTGCAGAACTTGTTAAACCTCAACTTAGATGTGTTTGCTAACAAACTAAAAACCCCAACCAAGGAATTTGATAGCGGAATAGCCCTGGCTCCTCTCATCGGCAGTGTGTACGCGGCCCGCCACTGAACTGTTTCTCTTCAATTCTCTAAATGCTTAATATATATTTTAAAGTAAGGTTTATTTAAAACAGAAATTAATACGCAAAGGGAGAAAAAATGTTAGGGGGGTCAATTAATTGGGGGGGGGGGGTCGCAATACCTTTGGACCACCCTGTACGTGGAGAACAATACTGATTTGACATCTAAACAATACTGATTTGACATCTAACAATACTGATTTGACATTTGAAAGCGCCCTTAAACAATGGGTTTTCAGGGCGCAAGAACGCTGTGGCCTGGTGCGTTATCTCCGCTGGAAAGACGCCTACTCTTCCTCACCCGGCCAGGGCCTTTGCCATGGCTGCTGAGTCAAAAAACCTGCAGCAGCAGTCCTCCACTTTTGTCGATCAACAACCACAACGACACCTGTATCCCACCTCTTTTCTCTCCACCTGAAGAAGACCGCTTGTGCTGCGATCGAAACGTCGTGGGTTTTTTTTGTGCTTTTTATTTTTTTTATTTAAAGCTTTCGTGACTGCAGGGATTCATATTCTTGGTTCTTTCGCGACTTTACCGAAAGAACCAAGAATACGTATCTCGCCTGTTGCCGATGTTTACCCTGTCGTTCCATGATTCCTAACTCCTCCGTTATAATCAAGTCCATCTTATTCTCGGATATGCCTCTTGTTTACCCCCCCCCTCCCCTTGCGTTTGCCATTGCTTTTGTTGGTATTGCTGTTTGGTGTGCCTTCTTCTGGCATGACCATACCAAGGCGTTCACTCAATTGTCAATGATTCGTATTGTTCGTTCCGTCTGCAAACTTCTTTATAATGTTGATTATTTTGTACTCTCTCCAACGTTGCCACTCCGAGCGATTTTTTTTCCAAAGGGTGCCATTCTATAACTAGAATAATGTTTCGTCTTCCCATAGTGTCCCAAGTCTTGTTATCTATATAGGAGCACTGTAATGGTAGGATTTCAAACAGTAATGCCCCCCCATCCATCCCAGAAGATTTCCCTCATCAAGACTCTGCACCATAGAGCCCAATGCATATCCGACCAGGAACACATAGCCAGTGAACTCAAGCACGTACACCAAGCTCTTAAGGCTAATAGAAACTCCGACTACACAATCCGCAAAGCTATCACTCCAACCATGAAGAAGGACCCTCTTGAGGAGCCTTTAAAAACTATCACTTTACCTTACATTGCGGGGATCACAAAAAAGATCTCCAAAATCTTGAATAAACACAAGATCCAGGTCCGATTCAACACATTACATAAAATCCGTGATCTGGTTCCGTCTGTAAAAGATGTGATTCCAGACATACAGTACCCTGGCGTCTACAAACTAAGTTGCCTCTGTGGTAGTAATTACATTGGAGAAACCAAA